CCTGGCACTCGGCTTGACCGACAAGGACAGCGTCCCGCGAAGCGAAGCAGATGGTGGCTCATCGCACGCGGCGCCTGCGCGCAGGATCGGCAGCCTGGCGTCTCCTCGCGCGGAGGAAACCCACACGTGTCCCAGAGGTGCCTGAGAGGGCCGGGAGGCTGGGATGGAGGAGGAAGAACAAACAGGGAGCTGAGTCAAGCTCAGCCCGCAGGGTTATAAATACCACAGGAGGCCGCGGGGCATCACGGGAAGGGGGTGAGGGAAGAATGGGATCCCTCTCCCCATCCGTGGCAGAAGACCTCAAATCCTGCCCTTTGTGGCTGTAGCCTCAACAGCGCTGTACCGAGCCCACCTCTCCAGCAGAAACGCAAGGCCTTTAGGAAACTCCAGGAAGAAACTTTATCAACATGACTAATTCCCAGAGGTAAATACTTCTTGCTGTCCTCGGGCAGGGCAGCCAGCCCCACACACCATGGAGCTTGGCTTCAGCCGTTTCAGAAAGGGGCGTGTGCTTTCATTTTGTTATTTTTTTTTTTTAATAAGCAATATAAACACAGCCCTGCCAATGAACACGGCAACACCTCAGCTGATGCATTTCCATCGGTATAACCCGTGCTAGATCCAGCTCAATCATCTCAGCAGTCGTGGTGCTGTAAAAGCTGTACGAGCCCCATATAGATAAGCCATTCCTAACGCAACCTCCACCTATGATACGTGCTTAAACCAAACCTGTGTATAAAAATCATGTCAAAGCTGTCCACAAAGCACTTCTGGGCGAAAATGCACCGGGATTTTTCCACTTCCAAGGAACAGCACACCCGTGCCGTCCTCCCATAAGCAGGTTTTACAAACTGCCTAAGGGGAAACTCCAGCCCATTGGAGTTCCCTGCTGTTGGCTGGTTGTGAACCAGCAAGTCTTAAGAGACACGGGTTCATTTTGCTTCTTCTGGACCTCAGAGAAGCTGCGTTGCCTCCCTCCACCGCGTGACCGGTGGCGAGAAGCCCTTGCCGGCCGTCAGTCCGTCCTTCTTTCTGCTGAGCCCATGCCACCGAATGCCAACGGGGCAGACAGAGACAGCATCGTCAAACTGAGGGAATTAGATTAGCGGAATTGTTTTTCACCGGGAGACTGCCCTACTAAAGGCCCAGCTGCA